CAACACAATGCATTAAGGCAGATAATAATTAAAGGTTACAGGTCAAGGCTGTTTTCAAAACCAACATCAAATTCTTCCTTCTCACAAGAATACAACAAATTAAACAGTTCTTGGGTTGTTTTCAATGAAGTATACTTCTTTTCAATACAACACTAACTATATAAAAATACTTTTCCAGGCTGAAGAGTCCCTGCACACTTAACTGTTCCCTCTATTGCATTTCCTCATCTGAGATCATCTCTGTTGTCCTCCTTGGAGTTTTTCCCAATTCTATTGTATCACAATCTAAAGCAAGGGGAAAAAACACCTCACAGAAAAGAAAACACCCAAACAGCACATAAGTATGGGGGGATTTTTTCGTTCTTGCCAAATATCCTCTACCTTGAGAACAAAAACAAAAATAAGAAGTCAGATTATAACCTTGATCTTCTAGAAAGAAAAGCTTTGGTGAAAGAAGATGCCCTTATTCCCCATTAACTGCCTGTAAAAAAAAATGGGGAAAAAAAGTAATTAAAATTAAAACATTTTTCCTAAGCTATTGCATAAGTTACTGCATACTTCAGAGAGCTATGAGGCTCTGTTGTCCCAGACAGATGAATGTAAGTTTAAAGTTCACACAGATCTGCAGGACTTGGCCACAAATCCTAAGTGAGTCCACTGCAGAGAAGCTGCAGTGTATTTCTTTTGAGACACAGATACTACAGTGTGCAACTGCAAATATCAAAGGTCATTTAAGAGACTCCTCCTCAGTGCCCTGGGCTTATCTTTTCCCTCTACTTGCACCCATCAAATTGTTGTAGAGCTGCTCTTTCAGCAAGACAGGTGAAAAGATGCAGGTTAAACCCAAACAAATCACTGTTTCCCAGCAGAGGAGTGAGAGTTAACAGCAGGGAGGGTGGGAATAAATCAGTTTTGCTGCTACAGGATTGAAATGTGGAACAAACCCCACGAACATTTTACACATCTCATGTCCTACAGTAACAGTGAACACTCCTAAAGCAAACTGGGGCAGCCTGAAAAGGGTGTTTCCCTTAAAAACATCATAATGTTCAAACTAAAATGCAAGGCCAAAAGAGTTTGGAATATTTACCACCATGATTTATTGTATATTTTTTGTGCGCTTGCAGGAGCCAAAAAAATCCTTTCATAAGCAAGAGAAATGTATTTTCTTATGAAACTGCATCTTATGCATTTTTCTTTATACTAAATAAGACATGAACTTTGACTCCAGATCTTTGTAAGGCTGAACTACTCAAAATAGCTCTGTACTTCCTTCAGTTTTTTATTTTAGTAAGTTTGTCAGAAATTAATGTCTGAAAAATTAACATTTGAGACTTCTACCTGTTAATAAAGTACAATCACTTTTGCAAAAAGCAACTGGGAGAAAAGATGGACAGAGAAAACATGGTCACAATAAGCCCCGTTTCCCTTAGAAAAGAAAGTTAAAAATATAAAAAAACAATATCCACAATCCCAGGGAAAGCAGATAAAATCAAGCTGGGAGCTCCTTGTGCCCTGTGACAGCTCTCTAATTATTTTCACTGCAGAAGAGACTGTACAATAAAAAGATCTGAAATCAGAGCAAAAATGTTCCACCCCCAAGCCAAGAAAAACAACAGGGATGCTCGGGAAGGAATGAGAATAGATCTGAAAATTACTTGTATGATAAACACAGTTAACTTTTTCCTCCCTCAAGAGGGGGAGGAAGGTCAGTTTACAATATCCCTTCTTCCTTCCTTCCATCTCCAACCTTACCATTTGTACCAGCCATATTTTCTTTCCACTTCTCCTTTCTGTTTCCTCTGTGCCCATGTAAACCTTGTTCCTTCCTTATTTTTCACAGCCCTCCCTCTGCCATTCTCCTGTATTTAATACTCAGTCCTCTTTATAGTCTCCTCTTCATTCTCATTGCTCCTGAGCAAAACCAGCCACTTGGTGTGGAAATCTGAAATAATGCAACCACAAACCACACCTGGCCAAAGCCCTTCTTGCATGATTTTGGCCATCCAGGCAAAATCCAACCTGTGAAAACCCTCCCCATTTTTTAAGTTTCTCTTAAAAAATAAAAATAAACCGAAGTCAAACATGTTTGGACATTAATTAAACACAGGAAACAGAGAGTTTACACCAAAATCTATGTCCAAAGACTAAATTAAAGCTTACTTTGGCAAACTGTTCATACTGGCCATTTGGGAGGGGTGGGGAAATTGTTCAGACAGAAGGAAGAATAGGAAGAACTTGCTTGTCTTGGCTACTTTCTCTCATTTTTCCATTCTTTCCTTCTTTCTTTCTTCTCCTGTGTGTAACACCCACAGATTTCCTAATGAGACAGTATGAGACCCACCACACACTGCAGTGTGGGTGTAACTTCAATGAAAAAGAAACCTAAATTAACAAGTAACTTGCATGGATATTTATATTAAGTGCCACAAAACTGGAAAGTGGTATTAAATAGCATTAACATTAAACGTAATATTATAATATTACAGACACTAATGTTAAAAATAAATTGTGATAGGTGAAAATTTTCTCTTCAGAATAGTTTAACAAGTCTCCTCTGCTCAACAGATCTAGAAGGATAAGATCTGCTCACTGAAGTAAGATAGCTTGGCTTCTAGTTCTGAAATGAATCCTAATACATCACGCCTTGACATAAAAGGTAGTCTAAAATCTTATTAATAGAGGTCCAATAATTCTCTTTCTACTAAATTTTGAATACATCCTGCAGTGTGCACGTTAAAATTGACCTGAAAAGATGTGACTTCAAATCGGGGTGGAACGCTGGCCTGGGATACTCAAAATAGTAAATAACCAGTTAACAGCCATCCTAAGGTTCCTCCTCCAGAAACAAACCTCCTGACAATAGCAGGGGTTTTACAGCAGGGAAACTCAACACAGACTTTGAGCAAAAAGAAACCACATTGGGCTTGAAGAGCTCAGGAAGTTTTAATAACCTCCCTAAACATCTCCCCAGCAGCACCTTCAGCGGGTGCAGCCGGTGAGCCACACGCACTTCTCGGGAGGCTACAAAACACCAGGCAAACGCTGGCCTGGGATCTGGGATTCATCTCTCCGTGAAAAACACAAACCCATCTCACTGTCCTCCACAAAGAGAACCCCTGGTCCCAGAGAGGAAGGAGGAACACAAGAGGTTTGGGGATGTTTGAGTGAAGGCAACGGGCTCACCTGAAACAGTCCCCAGAGGGAGGTCCCAGTGAACACCCACCTATTCTGTTATTTCCTTCCCAGGGAAGAACAGACTTGAGCGTAACTTGAATAAACTTGATCCTTGGACCTGAACAAAGCACTCCTTTCTTACAAATTACAGCCCTGAGCAAAGCAGGCTGAGAGAAGAGGAAAGAGCTGGATTTGGAAATGAAGTTGAACACGAATGTTCGTTATCACAGCCTGTTTTCTTCCTTTGGTTCTTTATTGTTAATTAATGACGGGGAGATTAACAGCAGAAAACTGATGGAACAGTAATTCTGCCTCATCCAAAGTAAATATCTTGAATCTAAAACTGTCACTGATATTACTGATGACCTCCTCAAATGCATATCCTTAAGTTTTTAATTTTCAGGAAACAAGGGGAAGAGTCAAGCAGAAGATCAGTTCACAACCCTGGGACAGCATACCAGTATTTTTACTGAAAAGTTCATGACATAAAAGAAAATGTAAGACCCTAAAGTTTCACAAACACCCACAAATTAGTGTTGCATCTGTCTGCATATATAAAAACAATGATTGTGGCTGGTAGTTTTACCTTATAAAACCATTGGTTTGGAAAACCTACTTTTTACTGAGGCAGGAAACTTTAAAAAACAAAGAATAAAAAATATCCCTCGATAAAAGAAAACACAGAAAAACCTCAACAAGTCTTAGAAATTCTGATCCCACCTTCTGTAACCTCCCTCTGCTTTCACTCCAAGAAAATTCTATTTGTTCACTAAGACCCAGAAAAGTACAGAGGTCTGAAAGTTCCTGTGTTTGACAAACATTAATAATATTTTAAAGGGATAAAATGTAGTTACAACTCGAAAGGGAAAAAGGGTTTAGAAATTCTTTAGTGATCAGAAGCATCTTTTGCTTATGCAGTTTTGTGTTCCTGGGGGTGGGAAAAAGGCCCTCCTGTTGTGCCATAACAATCTGGCTCCCATATATGCCTAAAATTTTGCAATAATAAGCCAACCATACAGTATGCAACCCACATTTTCTTCATTAAAACCACTCATTATTATTGACAATAGCATTTAAAGCTGCAACCACCAACTGGAATTCCATAGGAATATACCTTTTCAATAATGGAAAACATTTTGAGAAGCAAAGAATTTGTTCAGAATTAAAATTGGTAATATAACATACATTGAATTTAACATTTATGAGTATAGTGATCAGATATTGTAAGTATGTAACAATATTCACTGCAGAAGCCATAGTTCAGTAGTTATCCATCTCAATATATTTAAGGAAATGTGACAAATCGTGGCCAGCCCTTTTTTTTGTGACAAGTTTATAACATAAAAAAAGTCATTTTTTTCCAAAGAACTATTTAAAAATAAATTGCTTTTATGATATAAGACCAACAGATAAGCCTATCAACTGTAAAACCTACCATTATGACTGCAATGAAATGATATTAAACAAAAATTGGCAAGTCATTTAGCCCCCAAGCTGATGTAACAGAGCCCAAGCTCCAGCGATCATTATCTTTGGTTTGAAAGGTGGATGTACTGAAATTGCACTTATTAGTCTCACCACCCTCACACACACAAAAAAATCAGTTCCATTTGGGCAAAAGTTCTTAATTCTGCTCTCTCCTGCACTCCCAAGGTCATTGGGGCTGCAGTTCCACTGGTGAAGTCAGAAGGTCATTTATCACATCACAGCAACTCTTCAGGACTGGATATGTTGCCACAAGAGGGAGAAGCAAAGATATTATTTCTAAATTAAAATCTTCCTGTTGGAAAAAATAAAGAGCAGTGCTTTCCACTATACTTTACCTTCCTTTATTTCATGACAAGTCAAATAATTTCTTTCACCTGTGAGAAACAAAGGAGCAGAAGATCCGTGTTCCCCTGATTTCCACTGACCACGTTGTTTTCGTGCTTCCAAGTAGTGTTGGACTCTTGAAGCAACAACTTCTTCCAGCAGCTTGCAGAGCTCCTGGAAGAGTAACCAGTGGCCTGCTTAGATCTAAATTTACAGACATCGATACAAAATCACCCTCTTTCACATTAAAAGGAAAAACATCATCTGCAGTTCAGTACTGAGGGGAGAAGCACATAAATTAGGAAACAAATGGGAACAAGGAGGGAATGAAACCATTTCTCTACAAAACAAGAGAGGAAGTACACCATGAAATTCTCACTTGGCAGATGAAATACATTATATTACAGTACTATTAGTTTTTTCATCAGAAATTGGTTTTATATGAAGCCAATGTAGGAAAAAATACACGTTAAAAATGTATCACAACATTAGGTATTTAAGAAAAATATTAGTAAAAATCCTCCCAGGAATTGTCAAGACACTATTTCTCTGCAAGGATCCTTACAATCCACAACAGATATTTTGCTTCAATTCAGTGTAATTTGGGGGGAGGAAGACTTGGAGTCAATTAGGTCACAGCAACTTAATTTCTCTAATTCATTTTGATTTTTCTGCTCCTAAACATAACTGTTCATATTTCTCAAACCTTCTTCAAGAAAGCACAGTGAAACCACATACAACTCAGGGAGAACAAACTCTTCAGCCAGAATAACCATAAAAAAAGAATAACTTGGAGTAAAAACAAAAATTAATCTCTCGAATACCAGAATAAGTTTTCAGTTTGATACTCACACGCATATTTGAGACTTTCCCCTCAGTATTCTCATTTTCCATTGTTCATAACTATTTGCTCACAGAAATGATACTTTGTGGCACACAAAAATAAAATGTTACCTTTTTATTGTGTTTGGGTAACGACAAAATTATATTAGTAGTATCTAAATAAAATACCTTGGCCTGAAATTTCCTTTTGGTTAATGTAGAAAGTATGCAGAGTAACAAATTTTTAATGCATTGCTCTTAATGAAAGCAGGGCAATATATTGGTCAACCACAGCCAGTATTTTCTCCTTACAGTAAGAAATACATTTTCCTTTCTGCTTGTAGAGTCTAATTATAAAATACTATATTTACTTATTCTTCTGTTTAACTCATTAAAGTGATCCCATTACACATTCCTGCACAGGACTCTGTGTTCAGGTTAGAATGAAAAGGCCTAGAAAGCAGCAGAAACATGGTGTGTATTTGGTTCCTTCTGCACCAATAAACATCATCATGCACTTCCTTCATTTACATGGAACATATTTTAGCTTTTATGCTCATGGAAACATTATTTAAATGGTTCTCCACAAAGAACTACACAGACCTAAGAGTGCAAAGATGAAATTTGACTTTGCTGTTCCAGGGGGAAAGAGAGATGACAGAAAGGGCAGGGAAATTTGAGGGGCAGAAAGAGAGAGAAGCAATCCCACGATGGCTCTACATCCAACTCATGACAGCAAACTGTGGCACAGGCAGGCAGAGAGGGCTGTACCACCAGCAGTATCTTCCAGAATTTGGAAACAACAAATATGTACAAAACCACTTGTGATGAGCACGTGGAAGCTCTCATTGAAAAAAAAAAATATATATATAAAGGCATATTTCTTCTTTAAGACCTTTTTGCCCCACTTAAAGATCCTGCCTGGGACTTGGAGGAAGCAAATGCAAAGCTATTGGACTCCCACTTCTCAGTTGCTGAAAATATGCAACCTTTGTGCTTCTCTCGAAACGTGCGGTCCCAGAAACGCGATGAAGGCTGCCCTGTCATGCCTCTTTATTAAATCAATCATGATCTAATTTCCTGAAATTCATATCTTTTTGTCTTGGCAGCCTTACAAAATACATTTTGAAAACGTTTAAAACTCAGAGAGCAAAAGTGGTTATAAATAGAAGGCGTAACGAGCGTTCATTTAGTCAGAAAAAAAAGTTTAAAAGATTTCCCCCTATTTTCTTATTTCTCTGCTTAATAAAGCACAAATCTGATGACCCACATGCTGCTAAATACTCTGCTCCCTCAGGATATTAATTTGTTGTTTCTTTTAATTTTATTTAAACTTAGAGAGGTCCAGGGACGCTCTGCAGTGACAGGTTAATTATGGCATTATTAGGAAAAGTATCTGCTGAAAATTACCGTAACAGAGACTTGCGGGAAAGTCCACAGGCATCCCAAACATGTCCTGCCTTCGTTTTCAATAGGGAACTTCTCAAGTTCCCACACAGGCTGACATGGGGGAAAACTCCTGCCAGTAACTCATCACAAGACTGGAGCAGAAATCACACAGAGTCCGATGAAAGTTACAGTCAGAATTGTGATTTTCCACCATTTCGTCAGGATGCACAAATGATACACTTAAAAAGTTTCTTTTCACGTGATGCAATGGTTCTGCTATAGTTTATCATTCATACTTACTGGGTTTTCTTGCACCCTCTAAATGCAACACCCGTTCACACTTCTCAGAATGAGAAAAAAACAATTAATATAAAGATATTTCGCCAACAAACGATACCTGTCACGTTGTCACAATCTGCTTTCTATCACTCAGGATAATTTATAAACATTCATGAAAAGTCACAAGAATCCAAACAGCATACACATGTATGTGTACACCCACAGAGTTTAAAAATTAAAAAGCAAATTTAAAGTGGTCACGAGTGGCCCAAAAAAGCACATATGGTTGACTAAGGGGTCCCACAGCAATCGTTGATGGTAAGGTATAAGTAACAATATTCTCAAAGCCTTGGAAAATTCTGAACAGTTCAAGGCAATCCAACTTTTTCCCTGCAGCCACATGCTTTTGAAGTAGAACTGATACTTGTTGTACCTCTTTCTCATGATCTGAAAACCAGCTGGTGTCTTTACTGGAGCCTTGAGGCAAA